AATTCACAAACTTTAGGCCATGGTGTGACGCTAGAATCAACAGCACGTGCTTCGTTCGTGGGTTGTAAGGCTTTCCATTGTCACTATCAAGGAATCAGTCTCGTTCCTAGAGATGAACTTATCCGCACTGGGAACACACGTCTTGACCCTGGGGCCTCTCTTGCTCCTGGAGACTTCAGTGCAGTTTCTGGGGGCAAAGAAGCAGCTTCCAGGAGCCATGTAGCCCCCAGGAAACCTGATGTAGCTTCTGGGGTCTTGTACCTCCACCTCGGGGAACCAAAGTCACGTTCCTTTGAACAGTCTTATCAATTCATGGAAACTCATTTGTGGTTCCTGGGGCTATGGCTAAGCCTTCTGGAAGTGGTTGAATGTCTCAGATTTGTGCGTAGGTTTGTTGAAAATTTTTTGTAAGTTAACAAACTACCTTGGGAGGCAGAGTATTGACTCTAGGATTCACAGATGCTGCCGTAGTAGTGCAACGGCTCCCAGATCCAGTAATCTGACTCTGGGAACTATTACATTGATCCTAGAAATGCCAAAAGCAATTCTAGGAGCTGTTTGTTCTCTGGGAACCTCTATTTAGCTCCTGGGGCCATTTTCCGTTTCCAGGAAACCGAGTTCTACCCCCTGGGATCTCCACTATATGATCCTGATTGAATACGAACTGGTTTTGGGAACACATTGGCTGGATCTGGGAGCTGTCGCGCTCCTGGGACCCTACTTCTGGATCCTAGAATCAATATTCTGCCTTCTGAGCTCGCGGAAAGCCCTCACAAGACACCTTCACCGGACCTGCGCACAAACCTGCGTAATTCGCTACTCCCGGAAAGGCTAAGCCATAGGCCCAGGAACCGCACTTGAGGTTTCAGGAGGTATGAGACTGTCAACAGGAACATGACTTCGGTTCCCCGAGGTGAAAGTACCAGACCCCAGAAGCTACATCAGGTTTCCTGGGGCTACATGGCTCCTGGAAGCTGCTTCTTTGGCCCCAGAAACTGTGTGAGGGTCTCACGTATCCGTAGATGAGTGATCAATATTAAAGAAAGCTATAGTCGACTCTAGATACAAGACGTAGCGCGAGGAAGCAAAAGCAACGGGCTTCCTCGCGTTCAGGGGAACCCATATGCACCATGTGGGTCCCGCAGATCATTTCTCCAAACATCCTGTATACTTCAGGTAGATCCCTGACATTACCCCCCTCCTAAACAACTAGGAGCTCCTGCGACGCCATAGCTCAGTAGGCGAAGGTCGATCTGGGTTCTGGTTGTGGAACTCGTACAAAAGTTCGCCACTCCCTGGGACCAGGTCCTGTTGGGGTCGCCACGAAGGAGAGTAGCCTTTCCATCTCACGTAGTACTCCAGTCTTCTCTTTCCATGTCGATTCTTGGTGATGCGTGAATCCAGTATCTTTTCAATCATCCACTCTCTTCTCTCGGTGTTATCTTTATTCAATCTGATTCGGGGTTGAGTAGATTCGTTCTGGCCAGGGAGGGGATCCGAAGCTGCTGGGCGGAGCAAGCTCGTGTGGAACACGTCGTGAATTCTCATCGCTGGGGGAAGCTCCAAACGGTACGTGACTGGGCCCATGACTTCTGCAATTCGAAACGGTCCAATGAACTTCTCCGAGAGTTTCCTGGCTGGTCTTTCTATACTCAAATTCTTTGTCTCGAGCCACACTTCGTCTCCCTCACGATAGTGTGGTGCTGGCATTCGGTTCTCATTTGCGTACTCGGCGTGTTGCGCTTGGGCCATGGTCATCTCCAAACGTAGTATTTCTGTCAATCTTGCCATTTCGTTGGCGAAGGCGTCCGCGGTGCTGATATCTATCTGTTGCTTCGCGGGTAGTTTTCGTGTTCCTTGGGGCGGCTCATGTCCCATTCGGGGACGTTGTCCGTATACGGCGTAGAAAGGTGTCACTCCTGTTGTCGCTGACTGATGATTATTGATCGCAAATTCTGCAAGAGGTAACCAGTTGACCCAATCGTCCTGCGAATAGTTGACGTAAGCCCGGAGGTACTGCTCTAGCCCCTGATTGGAGTTTTCCGATTGACCGTCTGATTCTGGGTGGTAGGCTGTCGAGAGCCTAGTCGAGATTCCTAATCGCTGGCAAAGCCGCTGCCAAAGGCGGGAGGTGAACTGTGTCCCTCTATCTGATACAATCGTCGTTGGTAGTCCGTGGTGCTTCCATACATGGTGCAAGAACAACTGTGCCGTGTGCTTTGCATTCGTAGATCCACATGCAATGAAGTGTCGTTGTTTCGAAAGTCGGTCGGTCACGACCATGATGTTCTTGCAGAACTGGCCTGTCGTTTCGTTTTTACTTCTTGGTAGCTCGACAATGAAGTCGACTGCTATGTCTTCCCACCTGCCATTCGGCGTACCCAGAGGTTGCAAAAGCCCCTGGTATGGCAGCCGTGACGCTTTGGATCGCGAGCAGGTGTGGCAATTGCGTACATATCGTTTAACGGCTTGGCCCATCTTGGGCCAGTAGTAATTTCGTGAAAGTAGTTCGTGGGTTTTGGCTCTTCCTGGATGCCCCGCGGCGGCATTGTCGTGGCATGATCGTAGAAGACGGAGGCGTAGTTCATCATCGTCCGGCACAAACATTCGATCTTTCACAAACAGTCTTCCATCTCTTTCTACCATCTCGTTGATGGGGATCTTGAGTCGAGCCAGCTCCGTCGGGAGCTGGCGGTCGTGCTTGTCCATAATCTCTCGTATCTTTGCAGGTATTGGATCTTTTTTATAAGCAGCGGTGATCAAATCATCGAGGGGTTGCTGCGTATCATCGTGGTTTTCGTGTAACGTGTTCTGCTTCAAGGCAAGCGGGTGCATTCCGGGTGAGATGTTCTGCGGCTTGATCACTGTCTGGTCCTGATGTCGTAGTCTCTCGTCGTCATCCGTCTGTGGCATATCTGATGATCGTCTTGTCAAAGCATCTGGTTTCCCACCCTGTGTTCCTGGACGATAAATGAGTTTGAACTCGAACCGTGAAAGAAACTCGCTCCATCGCGCTTGTCGCCGACTGAGGCGCTTGGTTGTCATGAAATGTTGGAGGTTCTTGTGGTCGCTGACCACCTGTACAGGAGTTGCTGCACCTTCTAGCTCGGCTCGCCATTCTTCAAAAGACTGCACCACGGCCATTAGTTCTTTGTCGTAGATATCATAGTTGCATTCCGCCGGTGACAGCTTGCGGGAAAAGAATGCGACTGGGTGCAGGGTCCCATCTGGATCAGGCTGTGACAAGCAGCCTGCATTGACGTAATCTGATGAGGCGCACTCGATAGTGCTAGGCTTGTCTGGGTCAAAATGTCGTAGAATTGGTGCTGAGGTGAACGCTTCCTTGAGTTCTTCGAATGCAGTCTGGCATTTGTCATCCCATGTGAATGGGGTATCTTTCTTGGTCAATCTGGTGAGAGGGTTGGCTTTTGTGGCAAATCTTTTGATGAACCTTCGGTAGAAATTCGCAAATCCGAGAAAACTTTGGATGTCCTTGACATTTTGTGGGGTCGGCCACTCTTTGACGGCGGAGACCTTCACTGGGTCCATCTGGATGCCGTCCGTGCTCACGATGAGGCCCAAATATTTCACTTCCTGTACGTGGAATTCGCACTTTGCAATATCGGCCTGTAACCCATACTCTTTCAGGCGTTGCAATATTTGTCTCACGTGTCTCTTGTGTTCGCTCAATGAATTGCTGTAAATCAAGATGTCATCCAAATATGCTGTGCAAAAAATGTCGAGGTACTCTCGCAAGGCATCGTTCACATAGTGCTGGAAGGAAGCAGGGCCATTCGTTAGCCCGAACGGCATCACAAGATATTCGAACAATCCATATCTCGTCCGGAACGCGGTCTTCCATTCGTCTCCCTTGGCGATGCGAAGACGATTGAACGCCGCTATGATATCTAATTTGGTGTAGTACTGAGCTTTGCAGAGCCGATCCAGGGTCTCTCGGATCAATGGGATTGGGTATCGGTTCTTCACCGTGAGCGCATTGAGAGCTCGGTAGTCCACACAGAATCGTAATCCGCCTCCCGGTTTTCGAACAAACAGAACTGGAGAGGCGGCGGGTGATCGCGATGCTCGAATAAATCCTTTCCCTAAGTTTTCCTCCAGGTATTCTCGTAAGACGAGGAGCTCGTCTCGGGACATGTCGTACAGCGGGCCGAATGGCGGCTCGGTGCCTTCCTTTAGCCGTATTTTGTGGTCGTAGGCGCGGTGCGGTGGGAGCTTGTCGGCTTCTGTCTGCGAAAACACGTCGAGAAACTCATGGTATTCCGGCGGTAGTTTTTCTTTGGGTTCAATTTTGGTCTTAGGCGCCAGTGCTTTCTCGATATCTGCCATCGAGGCAGCGAAGATGGTGAAGTCTTCGGATTTCTTTCTTGCTTTGTCTGTTAGGTAGAGAAAGGGGGACGCTCCAATCATGCGAATGTCGAGCGTATTCTTTTCGGTATCTTTCGTCGGTTTCTTCATTGGATCTTCTTTCGTGATTCCACAGATCACAATCCTCTTCTTCACTCCACAGTGTTCGTGACAGTGTGCAGAATCGAATGTCAACGTGTTATTTTTCCATGAGATTGTCACATCGTGGAGCTTCAGCCAAGGGATTCCGAGCACAATCGGTTGCTGGCTCAACTTGGTCACAAAACAGGGCAGAGCCTCTCTGTGCCCCTGTATGTTCATGGGTATCCGTGTCATATGGGTGATCCGCCCCGCGACCGATTGTCTTCCGTCAACGACCTCGAGCCGTCGCGGGTGACGTAACAGTTCCAGTTTCAAATCGTGTTTTTGCGCAAAGGTTTGATCAATAAAAGCCATTCCATTTGCTCCGCTATCGACAAGAGCATCTATCTGCACACCCTTTCCGTCCTTGTGCAGAGTGCATGGCAGGATGAGGTGGTTACCATCGAGGTTCACCCTCTGCTGCCGCACAGAGCAAGCGGAGATTCTTATTGATCGTACTTCGTACTTCGTCCGTCCTAAATCGCGACTTCGGTCTAGGACATCTCTTTTCCCTCAACGACGGTGCTTTCATCGTCGATGTCGGATTCCATCGTCGCATGGTTTACCTTCGCTGTTCCGCGACCAAGGCGTGGCATCTCCTTCATCTGCGGGTTTGTGCACTCGTGGATTCGGTGTCCATGCTCACCGCACTTGTAGCATCGGCCATGCTGAGCAAGCAAGGCGCGATCTACCGGGCGCGGAACATAGCCTTCAGATCGTGTGGCGAAGGGTGTCTGTCTTGGACGTGATTTTTCGTATTGCTGATTGGTTCGGCCGGTGCCAACGACACGGCTTGGCAACCTTCTTTCGTAATCACGCATCTCGTGATCAACATCTCGATAGAAATCTACCAGGTCGTAAAAGTCTGCGGGTTTCTGCAACCCGATGACTTGTCGGGCCAACTCGTTTGAGATCGCGTTTTCGAGTAGTGGTATCATAGCATCTTCAGCATATCCAACTTCCGCAGCGCAGCGGGCGAAGTCGGCATAGAAGTCATCAAAGGTCCTTCTTCCCATACGCAGGGTGCGCAGTTCGTTGATGGCCCGTTTTCTCTTGTTCTTATCGCCGTAAATCTTTTCTAGAGCTTCCAATGCATCTTCAGCAGACCGAAAGCTGCGCGGATGGTCGGGTCGACATTGGGCTCGGATTTGTTGATAGGCGATACCGTCAGTGCGGCTGCGAATATAGGCAATTCGTTGCTCTTCATTTGGGTACTGAGCGGCGCTGTTACTCAGCTTGTCATACACCTTGTCTCTCCAGCTATCAAACGCGCCGCGATCTCCTGAAAATACAGGCGCATCAGGAAACTTTGGATTATCGAAACGTCCCGGACTGGAGTAAAGCAAGTGGGAACCGTCTCGTCGTATCGGTTCAGTCCGAGCCTCCAGGGAGACATCGCGTCGGGGAACACGACTGTTGGTGTTTCTTTCCGGAACCGGCGTCGTTTGTCTCGCCGTATTCATCAACGTATTGATTGACTGGTCTCGCTCTCGGTAAGCTCCGTCCAACTTCGAGGCCAGTTCCTCGACTCGCTTCTCTGCCAAATCTCGTTGCACCGTCATACGGTCTCTTTCACGTCGCAGTTCTCGGTTGTCTTCGCCTAAACGTATGACTTCTTCACGAATCAAATCATCGGTCACTTGGTTTGTATTCATTTTGGCTTGTTTGTCCATGGCGAGCATAACGTCCCACCAGAACTCGAAATGGTGTCGCAATCGTGCCAATTGTTGCGCTCTATCTAGAACACAGATCGCTCGAGCAGGACGTAGCGGGTGATTCGGGCTCACATAGTCAAACGCATCAATCATCGGGGTCGTGCCCGCATTTTCGGGCAGTACTGTCCTGTCGTCTTCATTACTAGGCTGGTAATCGTCGTCGTCAGATCCGTCATCGTCGACGACGGTGGCTTCTTGTGCCATCACGGTTTCTCTTCTTGTTCTTCCTCTCCGTTCCATATCCTCAGGCCCTCGAGCGCTAAGGGCTTCGTTAGATTTGGACGTCATTGTGTCTTTGTTGTCGTCGGTTGTCTTTGTTGTCGTCGGTTGTCTTTGTTGTCGTCGGTTGTCTTTGTTGTCGTCGGTTGTCTTTGTTGTCGTCGGTTGTCTTTGTTGTCGTCGGTTGTCTTTGTTGTCGTCGGTTGTCTTTGTTGTCGTCGGTTATCAAGGTTGGCGCTACGTAATGTGAGGGTCTCACGTATCCGTAGATGAGTGATCAATATTAAAGAAAGCTATAGTCGACTCTAGATACAAGACGTAGCGCGAGGAAGCAAAAGCAACGGGCTTCCTCGCGTTCAGGGGAACCCATATGCACCATGTGGGTCCCGCAGATCATTTCTCCAAACATCCTGTATACTTCAGGTAGATCCCTGACAACAGCGTGGGCCCCGTAGATCATTTCTCTAGATATCCGGTAAACTTCATGTATATCTGTGACAATCCTGCCTAGCAACCCTGCACACTAGTCCTGGGAGCTACAGCACCCCTGGAACGTTTCACCGAGATCCTAGGGCCATTCAAGGGTTCGAAGATCCATGTGAGGTCTCTTTGGGATAGTGGCGCCGATCTTGTTTCAATGCTACGGTGCGTAGAACAATTAGGAACACAACCTCCGTCCTCCATTCCACAGCATAGCCATGAACGCTGCACTGATGGATAGTATACCTTGACCGCCTGTCTCATCATCACTTTGCAAGTATTCGACGGCTATTCTTTGATCGAGATCATGTCCTGTCCCTGTTCATTCTCGCCTCCATCTCGGGTTTGGGATATGAGCTAGATACCCTCCATAGGAATGCGCGTCACTTCATCTTCGCCAATGTGATCCTGATGATCGAGAATGCTGAGGATATTCCTGAAAACTGACATATACAAATAGAATTATCTAGGTATAAAGAGGGACTATGCTATCATCGTATCCATTACCAGTCTCCTCATTTCTGTTCCTGACGCTGTCCCCATCTACAGCCATCTCAACAATTGTCCAGCATCTTGCTCAAAGCATCATGTCCGTCAAAAGTGTACCAGCTCAAAAATTCAGATGGACATGTACAACCATGAGCTCCCTCCGAGTTTTGAGTACTGCCTATGCTGCAAACCCCCGCCTACGACTGAAAAAGACAGTCTGGAGGTGGTTGATTGGCTGATGCAGCACGACCGTGTGCTCGCGTCGTGCTCTCGCCGGGCCCCAAATGCGCTCACCTTGGCCATCATACAGGGCAAGAGCTGCGTCGTCCGACACCTGATGAAGCGCTTTGCTGCATGCGTCAACGATCCAGATTGGAGCAACCAACGACCAATTTTGGTGGCTATGGAATATCGACAGCACGAGATCTTGCAATCGCTCCTCTGCGATCCACATACCAACGTGAACGTTACAGATAAGAGTGGGCATACTCTTCTCCACCTAGCCATGATTTACGACGATGTGACGGCGATCAAAATTGTGCTGAAGCACAAAAATGTCGACATCAATGCTCGAGACAGCAACGGCGATACTGCACTTCTACTGGCCGCCAAGATCCACGGCTGTGATCAGCCCAATAGCAAACGGATACTTGATTCACTGTTGTCGCACGAAGACATTCGAGCCGAATCGCTTGATTATTCCGGTCGTTCGGCCCTCTGGCACGCAGTGAACACCTGCAACTGGCAGTTGCTTTGCCTTCTCGCAAAATTTCCGCGGGTTCAGACCAACGTCCCTGATCGTCAAGGTGTCAGCCCGTTAGCCCGGGCCGTGATCCGCAGACGGCTTGACATTTTCAATTGGCTTCTTGCTACCTTGCCGCGAGACATTGCCTAGGGCTTACGGCTCTTTTATTGTAAATAGGGTGACATGAGTAGGTTCATTTCTATAGCTTGCTGAAGACCGTGCCAAACCACTAAACCGGCGTCGCAGAAATTCTGCGCCCGCTCTCTTAAATGTCATAATTATCACAAACCAAAATTTTCTGACTGGGAACAGTCGTGAGTTTTCATTCCGTAGGCGCATTTCCAACATGACTCGGCTGCATTATGTGATTGCAGCATTGTAAGAACACTCAGTCGTATTTAAACAGAGCTCGATTGCCCGACTGAAGTTGTTCAACTGATTTTTAAAAATTCGATCATTCTATCAGTTAGTGCTCACAGGCCGAAAGAGAGCATTCCTCTCATGACACACGAAGACGTTTTGCATCTCTTGTCCCCACTTGACGCGGTCGTCGTTTTGCGGCACCCCGTCGCGGCTTCGACGGTCGGCATCTCAGAGTAGAACGGTGAAAGTCGATGATCAAAGCACGCCGGAGCTCTTCATTCCAAAGAACATTTTCTTGCCTCAGGTCGTCATGTATTATCCCGAGAGATTTGATCTCCTTGTTCGACTTGTGAATCTCGCGGCAAAGCTGCTGCGTCAGCTCCATCGTCGCAGTACACTCACCCCCCCCAACCCATGACGAGCATGTGGCGAATTCGTGCGCCATGAAGAAAATATATTTTTGCCAAGTCAATGGTACCCAAGAAAACTGGCACAGCAGATCCTTGGGCCTGGTGGAGCACTCGATACACCTCCGCTTCGCGGGAAACTTCTTTCCACAACCCCGCAGTGGTGCCTTTCCCGATAACCGTGTAGCCGTATTTCATGCATGTCAGTTTAAATGGAGCGCCGTATGAGCCGCAATCACCAAAAGATATGCAACGGTCCATGTCTTCGTCCAGCTGGTTCTTCAATGAGAGCATCAAGTCCTCGGCCGATATTGGATGCTGAGTCGGATCGGCCTGGCCTCGGCGATGATGATCCACGTTTGGACACAGCTCATCCAAATAATTTTTGGTCCGCAAGCCAAGCAAGCACCGCTGAGTGCAGAATTGCGCGGCGCGGCGCTGGGAATAATCGTCTTGGCCCTGCCCTGCCCTATGCTGACGGCCTGATCGCCGAGCGGACGGTGAAGACGTGACCTGACTGATCCTCCGCTTATGGCCGGCTGCTTGATTGGTGTCGGAGCCGGAAGATCCAGGTGACTTCGACCGCGGTCGAACCTCCGAAGGCGCACAGCTCGTTTGAGATCGCGTAGGAATTCGACGGCTCTCTGAGGGCGCTGGTAACGGAGATGACGATGGCGGTGAATAGGATGAGCCAGTATCTGGACTCGGAAATTCGGGGTTGGTGCTATCGGAGTGAGGAATTTGCTGCAACTCTTGTCCTGGGATTTGTGAGCGCGTGCGGTCGAAGCTTGTTTCCCATTTGTGAAGAAATGGGTACGCTCGATTTCTCCATTCTTGCCCTCGGGGAAATGAACGAAACGCCATCAAACAAAGACACAGTGCCCTCGCAACAGAAGATCTCCATAGGAGGGAAGCCATATCACTTTCTGGAGTCATTTCGCTGTGAGGATCACAGAGAAAGTAGTAGAGCGTGCTGGGCCGGTCGAGCGGAACACGGAGCAGAACGCGGGTAAGCCCATTTGTCAGATATGAATATTCAAGTCCTTCTTCAATCATCACATGGTATTCCTGAGAAATGGCGGAGCAGACGAGTCGTTCCGCCTTATGTCTCACCTTTTCTTCCTGGTCGGTTGATGTCTTATTGGCTCGGACAATATCCTTCCAGAGGTCCATTGGTCGAAGTCCCATGCGTATGATTGCAGAAGACAGCTTGTGAGGTGGCTTGTACTCGACAGTCGTCAGAATGGTGGTCGAGGCACCGTCGACGCGGTTGATGCAGAACTGGTCAGGCCGCGGTTGACTTGTACTGGGAAGCTCGTTTGCTTCAACCTCCGCGGCTTCATCTTCGTTCAGGAAATTCTTATGATTGCTGAACTGGATTCCGTCTCCAAGCTGGAACTCCTCACGAGCGGCTGGCAGTTTGCAAAGCTCGGCTATAATATCATGAACATGTTCTTCAACGCCAAATCGCTCGTAGGCCTCAAGTTGTTGCTCGCTGCTCAATGGGCTGCGAGCAAATCGACGGCCAAGCCCTTCTATCTCAGCTAGAGACGAAAATAGGCGAGCCGGCGGTTCCCGCTCCGGGCAAAGATGTTGGCACACGGACTTGTAGACTTCCGAGAGCTGTTTTGGACAGTCGGTCCAGTGTTCCAATCGAGCCGGGCAGTATTTTCCTTTGGGGAGAGGTATTTTTCCAGTTGTTGAGCGAGATGGTGAATCAACTCTCAATGATCGGGAGAGAAGGACATGGCAGTGCTGAATGAGCTCGGTAAAGGTGGTCTGTCGGGTGCGCTCTTCTGCCTGTCGCCTCCCTTCTGCTTCCTTTTGCTCGCGCTCTTCTGCCTGTCGCCTCCCTTCTGCTTCCTTTTGCTCGCGCTCTTCTGCCCGCCTCCGTCCCTCTTCCGCCTGCAGATAGAGAGTTTGGTAGTCCGGAATATTAGAATTGGCCATGTAATTGTAGATAAACTGATAAAAACGAGTTCCTAAGACAGTTATGACACGCTAGGTCCCGGTCGGCGGTTTGGTACTGTTGACGCACGTCAGCTGATCCCGGCTCCCGGCAATAGTATTCACCCGAGAGCTCACATGACCTGCCGACAACTTTATGTGGTTCCTGGGATCTTCAAAATTCGAAATTACAGAAGACTCGCGACACAGGAGGAAAATTTCTCGATCCGAGGATTTTATTGGCGCGATGATCGTCTTGAATGGCCGAGCACGTGGCCTGAAGAACTGAGTTTTGTGCTCTCATTGTCTCGGCGCTTTGCTCCGTGAATACGATATGACGCTGCAAATCCCATCGTAATTTTCGCAATCTCCGAGTGTCCACCTGAAAGCTCCCAGGAGCCAGTGCACATCTATTTCCGATGGATCATTTGACCAAACTATACTTGCCGCCAGACTGACGAATAGCTACTTTATTCACATAGCTACAGCGCATTAACACGCAACTTGTAGATGGTCTACTTTCGCGCATTCCAGCTGTACATGAGATCCCAACGGTGTTCTTCCGGGCCTCAATTCCCACAGCCTTGGATCTTATAGGGCCACAGATGCCACCTCAAGTCGCTATTGTCAGCGGGTCA